TTCCTAACAGGTGAGGCTGCATGAAGCCCTGGAGGACACAGTGAGGGTCTTTAAAGCAGCTTCATGAGTGATCTAATGAGTCACTTCCCATTATACCTGCCATTTCCCTCTCAAACCTGACTTTGGCTGAAAACATGTAAGCCGAGGCTGTGGTGACTGACATTAGATTGGGCTGATAATAGAGGACTTATATAACCTAGAATTGTTCCTTAACTGGTTTTTTAATGAGTTGAACTGAGCAGGAGAGTTGTAATTGCTTGGGATGGTGGCCAAACAATCTAAAGGAGACATGGTTTGTAAATTACCCATGATTCCCTCTGGCATTTCTGTGCTGCAGTTTCTTGCAGACCTGCATGCTGATAGGTCGGTGATAGTTTCAGCCAGTCTGATGTATTGGCCAGGCTCCACTGAATTTGTCCTAATAAAGTATTTCAGATGAATTCATGAAATCAAAAGGAGACATTAGTGCCCCTGCTTACTGCCACTGACTATAAAACGGTCTTCTGACAGGAGTCTTTGTATTCTATTTTAAAATCAAATGCAAATGTTTACCAGGAACTGGAGTCGCTGTCGTTCTGACTCTGGTGTGAACTCTGTGGACATGGGGATGATCTCGTTGCTTCTGATAATGATCGCCCTGCAGACACACAAAAGGTTGGAGAAGTAATGTAGATTTAATTAAACATACAATCATTATAATCTTCTGCCAGGGGCTCTCCATCAAGAAAATAACAGAATACTTTGTTGTTCATATTTAATGTTTTTTAACCCGTAGCCAAATAGTGGTGCACGAATGAGTCCTAAAACCTGTTAATTAGCATTAGCACTTCTGGTTCCCTCGTCTTGAAGTCAGCGATTTATTTTGAACATGTTTTGGTTAGTGGCCCGAAAACAAGGTCTGTGTTTAACACAAACTAACAATATATTTTGTTCTACCACATAAAATACATCAGTAAATACTCTACTTTAGGAAAAGCGCTTTATAAATGTAATGTATTATTATTATTATTACTTGTGAATGTCAGAAACCTCTACGTGTCCTAAAATATTGCGGTTTCTAACAAGTGGCTATCGCCAGGTTGCCCTCCAAAAAACGTCATCACTGAATACATACTGATTTAATAATGCAGTTTCACGTTAAAAATCAATGTGTCTGAGTTTTTTTTATCAAACTAAAGTTAATACCAATGGGGTGTGTTATTAAACAATGTTATCCTTGGATGGATTGGTGTGCATATAGAGGGGCTGAAAGTACAAAAGGTGAACTGACGGAGGGCAGATGGAGCAGATTTTATAGCATGGAAGGCTGCTGACGGCCCTCCTGTGTCAGCCAATTTCCTGCTGAGGTTGGACAGGACAGTGGATGGAGTCACGATATACTGACATCATACGGCCATGGGTCCCTGGGTTGTACTGCGCCTGCTATACAGACTCAGTGTGGTCAGAAGATCAGCATACACACCTGCTGTCACCTGCATTCCCAACGTATAGTTTTCCCAGCAAGTAAACCACAGTGAGAGCCGTGCAGCCTCCGGTGATGTGGAACACCTGCTTCTCGCGCTCAATCTGGGCATCCTGTGAAACGGAGAGACAGTGATCCATCTTTAATGAAGCAACACTTAAGATAATAGGAAAAAAAGACCATACAGGCAAAGGGAAGCTGTACGTGCGCTCTCCATTCGTTCACATTCATACATTTGACTATAGGCCAAAAGAGATCGATGGAGATAATTATTTATACACGGAAAGTGAGCCAGACTGAGAAAATCTGATCAACTATTTGGAAACAAAGATGTGGAGGCATTGTTGCAGACTATTGATCGTTTAAACTGAACCCTGTGACCGTGTGAATAATGAATAATGTATACAGCGATATGTGAGAGGCTTTGTTTATTGCCTAAGGATGTCAGGCTTTGTACTGACAATACATGCACAAGAGCTTTCTCCCCGTCCCATTTAATTATTATTATTACGCATTTCTTACCTTAAATTCAGCTTTTATTATCTAACTGGGATATAATCAAATGAATTATTTGGGGTTCCAACCACAGCTTTTACTGTTGTAGTTATAATCTCCTGCAGAAAATGTCCAATCAATTGTTAGAGAGCTTATTTTCCCCCTCAGATAAAGGGTGGCGTGGTTGTTCTGAGAGGAGCTTTCACACTCATCTTTTTCATCTGAGTACTGCAGGATCCAGCTTGGACATTGTGGGCTGTTTTCCATTGCCATCTAGTGGTAATACTGCAGTATATCTCATAACAAAGCAATTTGAATGAAACCGTGAAGGAAGAAACTAGGAAAAACTGGACAGTATAAAAATATGTTCTATTATGCACTGCTGATATCCGAATGAAAACAAATGTTTTGGATATATTTCGTAATTGAAAATTGGCCTGTGGCTGTTTCTCCAGTAATAAAACATTTCAGCTAAATGTGTTAAATTAAAAAGCAAATAACTTAAGAGAGATTTATTTAGATGCTGCCTTTGGATGTGAGCATCAGAGATTCTAATGTGTGTGTGTGTGGTTGAGAGGCGAGTAGCCGGGAGCCATCATTTCATAAGCCAGGTCTCTGAGGGTAGATTTCCAGATAGTTTGTAAATACAGTGGCTACACTTGACGATATCTTGATCTAGTGTAATTAATGCTGGTTGACACATTATGACGAGATGTCTCTTGACAAGTACATTTATCCAGCTAACCACCAAAAAACACAAAGGGCATCTTAAGTAGATATCACCATACTCAATCAACTATCAATTTACCTTGAGTTACAGAGAAACACATTTCTGCTAATTTAATTCATCAGTCAACTGTCCATGATCCTAAAAATACTTGCTTAAACCTAACCTAACCACATGTTCTTCCTTCACCTTAAAACTTGCCTCTTTAATAAATCACATAACTAAATTCTCAAAAAGATTGTCTTCATATTATCCAGCCCTAAATGGGATTTGACAAGTATCTGAGAAGTGAGGCAACTGATCCCTGACAGAAGAAAATCTGCATCCTAACAGTGCATTTCTTGAAATTTCGCTGACAAAAGTCCTAAAATGTTACGTAAAGATGCATGCGGTTCACGTAAAGAGTGAACCGCTCAGGATGAAACTCCTGCTCCTTCCTCTCACCATCTCTTTGAAGGCGTTCTCTATGGCTCCTATCACCAGGCTCTCATGCTGGATCTTCTTCTCCGTGTAGAAGCGTGGTGGAGGAGGGGTGTTGCAGGGGGAACCGGGAGCACCTGAGGCCCCGCGCAGTGAAGCGGCACGAGTCAGGGACCGGTGAGGGCCTGGGGGGTTTCCCTGGAGGTAGGGGTTGATGTCGGGCTCCTCACCCAGGACAGTCGGGGGCAGGGAAGAGAGGTTACGAAGGATCTCGATGACGGCCTGGAGCTGGCAAGCGATGTGGTGCTGCATCAGGCGGGAGGCGACCACCGCTGCCCCCGAGCCCGCGTGACCATCGAACAACGCCCAGTAGTGGAACACCAGGCCTTCACTGTCCTGCAAGTGGCAACAGCATACAGTCACAAATCAAACCAAGAGATTACCTAAACGTCTATAATTGGAAAAATGACTGTTACTAAAAGTCGGAATAGTGTTTTCAGTGGAAAATCAGTATAATTCAGGCGGGACCAGAACAAGAGCTAAAGTGAAATTTCTCCCACGGTGTTGACTCAAACAGCCTGGCTGACCTTAGCACGATTTAAGATGTTCCAAAGAAAAGCTGGGAGTATATGGGAAACACAGCTTGGTCAAAGTTTACCTCCTTGGAAAAATAAGTGACTAAACGTTTTTTTTTTTTTTTTTTTAAATCAAAACAAGATCGATTCATATTATCATTGTAATTTATGTGTCTAAGCTTTTGCTTCAATGTTCAGAAAGTGCTTGAGGTTTAGGTTAGCTGGCCGGCTCTGTTGTGATTGCTCATCTGCTTAGAAATGTCCCACCCCTTAGCCTATCACGTACAATGTAAAAGAAGCGCAAGTGTTACGTAGTGATGTCACTATGTAACAAAAGGAGTTGACAAACGTTGACAGCTCTAGTTCTTACCTCTCCTAGCTTGCTGTGGTCCAAGCAGAGCCCCAAGCCCTCTCCGTTGGGCAGGGAGTTGCGTCTCTTGGCTGTGGGGGTCTTGCTGGGCGTGGACGGGGGGCAGTAGCTCATCGGCCTCCTTCTCGCTATGACCAGCTCGCAGCAGGCCTGGTCCTCATTCAGTGCACTCTTACCAGCGTTAATCACCCTGAAACAAGGGTCAAAGTAAAAAATAATTTTCAGTTTTTGTCAGACTTTCAGAGGTCCTGTAACAATCATATTTGGCAGCAAACGTTTGGCAATCCAGATAAAATATTAGCTACAAGCAACTCATTTCTGTGAGTCTGGCAACTGTGGGCTGGAACAAGCGGTTGAATGAAAGCCAACATTAGAAGCTTTTTGTTGGATGAAACGGTGCTGCAGTCTTTCAGGGGTTATTGTGGCTCACGACAATTATTCAAAGCTTTCGATTTGAACACCCAACGAGGCAGCTGGCATGGTCTGCTTCGCTTTCCGGATAAAGATCAAACAGGAGAGCTTGTTTGTGGTCGTTTTGTGTGTGTGACTATACATACATGCCCAAAGCTGTGTCTGTGTTTCATCTTTACAGTCCCGTATTCAACCAGGCAGACTGCAGAGAGAGATGTTACCAAGGAGAGATGAAACCCAGTGTGTGGTTTGCATAGAATTGATGCCTTATTTCAATTGTCTGTTTTTGTCATACACAGTCAAAGAATCTACTGATGATTCATATGAGCAGGATGTAAAATAGCTATTTTAATGAGATCACTGGTATTATTCCCCCAAACAAACACCTCATAGTATGACTCAAATAACACTTCAAAGCGTTTTTCATTAGAGCAAAAGCGATTGGGCTAGCAAAAAATTGTGAATAATAAAGACTGTGGAGGCGGCTCTGTGAGACTGGCGAGTCGACAGACGTCTCTGGAGGGTGTTGTGAATGTGTGTGAGTTGAAACATTGGCATGCCTATTTATAGACACAGACTGTGGATGTTTTCTGCAAGGCAACATCAATGTCTGGTTTTCAAATGCTTGAGATAAGATAGAAAGATAGGGAGAGGCTCACAGAGAGATCGTGACACGTTTTTGCTTGTATTGATAGGATGTGTATCTCATAAATATGTAAGCAAAAAGCATTTATGCATTTTATACTTCCAATATTTCATCGTAACATAGTATTAAGTTGTGCTTTATACTTGCTTTTGTAACAAAGGCAAAAACACATTCACTCAAAGCTTTTTTTGTCTGAGAGAAAGAGAGAGAGAGAGAGAGATGGATGTATTATCTTGAAAGCATCGTAGAGCTGTCCATTTCCGCTGCAGATTATGCAGTGGTTAGATGGGAGGGTACCAAATCAATAATAGCCTTTGTATTTGAACCAGGATTAAATTTGTTTGCTATAGTGGACTCCATTGAAAATCCAATAACTACACGCCCTTTATAGTGTGAGCAGCAATATTGTCGGACCTGTTCAACAAAGCAAATGTGTATTTCAATCTGCTAACAATGGCACAGGTTCCCATACTGAGTCATGCTGCTATAGCTACAATATGTCATTCACCATTGATAGTATAAAAGCCATCATATCCATAGGGCTGGTATTCACTATGATTATGCCACTCTGGTTTCAATCATCATATTTTACCACACTGTTTCAAAAACAAACAGCAATGTAATGATTTGTGCCTATGTATATGTGTGTGACCATGTCCTGCTGGTTCAACCTTATTATTTATGGAAACATACATGTTTCTAGAAAGCTTTTGTACCCTATTACTATTTGCAAAAACAATCCTCATCCTCCGAGACTACAATGCATTTAATGGGACCAATCAATAATGGATTGTTCTATGGAACTCTATTTCATGTTTGGTGCAGCTGGTGCCATTGTGTGTGTGCGTTTGTGTAATTTGAAAATGCTCTTACATCTAATTTGTCCTCTTTTCACAATTTGTAAGAAGAATGACAGTCAGTTCATTTCCCTGCCAGTTTTATTCAGAACAATTAGCCTTCCTCCCATTAGGAATAAAACATAATTTCCCCATCTTTTGTCAGACGTCTAATGCCCTTTTTGTTTCTCTACCCCCGGCAACAGATTCTGGGCCAGACATTGGCTCCAAGGATGAGATAATTATTTGGCAAAGCACAATGGCTCGTAGCTTTGCCTTTGTTTAACTTGTAACATCAAAGGAACAATAGCAGCAAAAGAGCTTCATGTTAAATACTTAAAACAGTCTTTAAACAAGTCAAAATGTTGTACTTTGTCTTGAGGGTTTTGTTCAGGATTGCACTAATGTTACCACCTGAACATAGGAGATAAGAAAATACAAAGGAAAAAAGGGAGAATTTGAATGTAACATATAAATGGATGGTTTTCATCTTCAATTTGTAGTTCTCACAAGACTGAGAGGAACATCACTACAATGTGCAGTTTACTGATAATGCTGAATCATTTCCTGGTCCAAATACTGTGTCAGTATTTTTATACAGAGGTGGAAAACTACATAGTAATTTCAAGCCCACAACTGTTACATTTGCTGACTGAAATAGCAGTCGATGCCACAATATACAGCTGTAGCTATTAAGCTAACGTTATCTTTGTGAGTTAGCTGAAAACTCACTCTCTAACTGACTTTATAGAATAGAATAGAATTGGGAGGGATGAAACCCTCTTTAATGGTCACACATGCAGAGCACACAGCACACACAGTGACATTTGGCCTCTGCTTTTAACCCATCCTAGTACCAGGAGTCTAGTACTAGGAGCAGTGGGCAGCTATTGTACAGCGCCCGGGCTCTATCATGGCTCTACTTCACTCATTAGACAATAACCCTGTTTGGGGTACAGTAAATAGCCATTTGATCGCTACACAGATGATATTGTGTTCAACAAGTCCCAGGCAGAAAGTCAGAATCCCCATCAGTTTCAGGTCAATGATAAAGAAAATCAGAATCAGAATACCTTTATTAGTCCCACAGAGGGGAAATGTACGTTGTTACAGCAGAAAAAGAGCCACAAGTTAAAAGTGGATGCGCTATTGAATTGAATTGGGCTTTTAAAACTACTCATTGGTCTTTAAAGGCAATGCTAAATTACTATTAGCTAAGCTAGTCAGCTTAACATCATTACATTTTTAATCAACATGTTTACACTTGTGCTCTTTTGTTTAAAAAAAACACCACCATCCAAACTCTTGATATGGTCTGTATCGTTTTGCCGACTGCCCGTAAACTTCAACAAATGGACATTGGGGAAGTCTAAAACTTGACATGCTATTGCTAGCTACCGTGGCTAAGCTATGATAAGATAATCGCTGATAAGGAAAGTGTTTAGTGAACAGTAAATTATGAGCACTGCAACAACGTTTTTGTCAACAACTTTGACAGTGTGATTCATTGATTCCAGATGTTTCTTTGGCTGTTTATTGTTGAACACAGTAGAGAGTACAATGATGAGGAAAAGTGGGAGTAGGATAGCTATGAGACAAAATGTCAGCTGTAATGAAAACACAGGAGGCTTTAATCACAGATGAATGTCGGTACGAGCTGAACTCATTAACGACACCGGTCCCAAAGAGACTACTCATGCCTGAATCTGTGTGGGTGTGTGTTAAAGATGGAAAAAGAAAGACAAAGAGGGAGGATGTAAGAAAAGACCCAATTAACAAACATTTTCAGTAATATTCCGTTAAAATAGTTTGAAAGGTTTGAAGTAGGGTTGTATGACAAACGTTTACAGTCAGTTTACTTCCCACAGTAGATGGGAAGTAGATGCTAGATTGGAAGTTTCTTTTAGACAGAAAGAAACCTGCAGGTCATGGAATTCGTCGGTCAACTGCTATAAGGGTTAGTTTGAATTCAACAAAGTGACACTGTAACACTAACTATAGCCAAGTGTGGCAGCAAAACCCTTTAAGCAAACAGAGGTTCCTATCAACATCCAAGCTCAGATAAAACATTGAGCAAATACTTCACTGGGAGTCCATTTGTAATACACCCATGTCCTCTACTTGAGTGTTGTTGCACCATTGTTCCAATAACAAAATTAAGAGTACGATGCATTTTCCAACAGAATAATACACTGGGTTTCTCTACCCTTTTTATATCCGATATGTGAAGGATTCCCTATGCAAATGTTAAAGTGCAGTGTATAATGTGACATGATTAGAAGAGCGATTCCCTGCTATACTACAGTATGCAGATGCTGACTAAGGCCATTTAAGTGCATTAAGACAAGTGAGCATTCTGGAGTAAATATCGAATATCTTTTTTAGTAACTAAAGAGCCCAATAACATGCAATCACAAGAATTGTAGGCTTATAACCAGATGCTGGTGGGACAATAGAGGGTGTGTCATCCAAACAAGATGGGGCTGTCTTAATACTTTCATCCACTTCTAATTCATGCATTTCCAATATGATACAAACAAGAGCAAAAGGATGCTGTGTGGAACCACAACCACGTTAGTAATATGGATGTCAGTCACAGCAGGTGCAGAGCTGCCCCCACTAAGTGCTTTTCATTAGTCTGAGTGTATAGGAGCAAATCAATGGTACCAACTGTTGTGGTTTGACACCTGCAAGCACCTGGGCCTCCACATGAGCTTTACATTGTGATGACACAACAGGAGGTCAGCTGTTGTCAGGTTACTTACTCAGCGTATCCGGTGGCCCACGGTAATCTCCTTGTTTCCCTCAGGATGACGATGGGCCGAGTTGTGTGGTCCGCGGAGCACTCGACCTCATCCGGGGACAGTCCCAGGAACTCGGGTCTCATATAGGGGAATTTCATCGGCAGCTCGGAGCCAGGGTTGCACCCTCCCCCGGAGCTGCCCCCGGCCATGATGCCACCCATGAACCCGGCCACCGCGCACTTGACCCGGCCGAGCATGTTGCCTCCTCGTCGCGGCGGGGGGTCTGTGGGCCGGTGCGCGCCCCCGCGGCTCCCTTTACCCGAATTCCCCCCCAGCTCGACGGCAGGCTCGATGGAGAAGAGACGCGGTGGAAGAGGAGGAGGAAGAGGAGGAGGACCTCAGATGGTTAACGCTTCATTCATTCAGCACAGGAGACAACAGCTGCAGCCGGAGGAGAAGAAGATGAACACCGCTATGATGCATTAGGTAAAACTCTGCACTCCCATCATTGATAACAGCTCGGCCGTCGTGAACGCGGAAATACGTTGAAGATTAACAGGTCATGTGACGCAACCGTGGATGCACACTGCAAAAAGTGTTAATTCCATGCGTGGTCTCTTAACACTTATATTATAAATGCTACCTATATTATTGATTTTATAAAAAGCATAAAGTAATGTAGAAAGCTCAGTGTCGTGAGAATAACCCTTAATTTCATTTTTTTCTTTTATTATTTTGCAATTTAAATTATTTTTCAATGGATGAACTGCTCTAGGAAAAGCGATAAGTAATTATTTTATAAATGGCTGTGCTTTCTAAACTGTACGCTGTTTCACTGAAAACGAATGGATTTTTTAAAGAGATCTCAACGCCCACTAGCTAAACTTCTTTGCCAGACTGATATTTCTTGCAGTGCAGGATGACCATACATTGATAATTCTCAGAGTGCAGGATGAGCTGCTTACAGCGGCTGACAGCAAGTTAAAGGAAAAGACCTACGGTTATTATACAGGCTATAGAAAACCTGCCTTGTGTATGATCCTAAACCAAAGTCAATATATAACAATAAAGCCCTTACATATTGGAGGATGCTTAAATCTCGGTATTCAATTATTTGATGTTGGAAACAATAATATTATACTTTAACAATCTGTCTTTTTTTTTAATTTAAAAACTGGATTTTTTTGGTCTGTTTTACATCTTCCATGTAATTTGACCTAATGTCTCTAAATTAATGCAGAATTGTTTTTGTATTGCTACACTTATAGTCTACCTGAATATTTAAATGAAGATTCTGCATTTTTTGTTATAAATGATTTTCTTTTCAATAGCTTCCAAGTCTTATGACCCATTGACTCCCAATCCATACCAGATTTAACACTGGATACACTGGACAAATGATACATTTTTTTTTTGTATTTGAGAGTTTCTTCAATTTAATTTGATTATTGACCATATGTTTCCAACTAAATTGAAAAAAAAATTGCTATACAAGTAGGACACACCTCGTTTTATTTTAGTTCTTCTTTTTCTAAAAAATAAGCGGTTCTTTAATTGAAAACTCTTTTGATTTTAGCTTCCATATATTCCAAGACCCCTCCTTTGTTCCATATGACTACTTACATTTCGTAAAAAAAGTGCTACAGAGCATACATCTATTTATAAATAACCCATTGTGATTTACAGCCACTAACATTATGACTTAGTTCAGCGGAGGAATCACTCAACAGGGACTTACCATAGAAACCGCAGACTTGATGAGTAGGCGGGTTATAAAAACAGAACTCAGAACTTGATTATTTATTAACAAGTTACCAAACGCCAAGACTACCCACTTGGTGACGCATTATCAATGGAAACCCATGACTCATTATTAACAGCATACTAAGATTTATAACTTTATTATCACCCATAGAAACCCATACCAAATGTACCTGAGAAGTGTAATGACGGGTGTTGTAATACACACAGAATCCCAGTAGATAGAGCTATTACGCAAAAGCAGGACAGGTCTGAGCTTTCAGTGTTACTTCAGATTGTGCTTTAAAACATGCCTACAGTATATTAGCCTATTGTTTGCTTCTGTATAAGGAATTGCCATCTCACTTTTGTAAGTAACACATACAAAGGTATCGCTTTTTTAAAGCTAATGCAGGGTTAGGGTTACACTTACAATGTTTCAGCTTATTGAAAGCTAATTTCTTGCTATTGTGAGATTGTATTGTCATGGTTGATTGCACTTATTCTGATTCCCAGCGTCAACTAAATTGAATGTCATTTCTTTGTCATTGATTTGATTAAAACCAGGCATATGTTAGGTGTTTCTACTCCATGTCCTATTATCTGGATACACACGAATAACTGAGTTAAAACAAGTCTTTGTGTTGTGTCTTTTTCCCCCCGTATTTCGTCACTTGAAATTAAATTAAACGGAAAATGATAAGATCTCATTTTAAGGCCGTGAACTGGGACTATCCCATCAGTTTCTTTTTTGTTATACACAAGGACTGTTATCCGCCCCCATTGAACTCTTTGATGTCATTTCACAACACAGCATTTAAAAGAAATGCATGGCTGACAGTAAAAAAAAAGTAAAGCTTGATCTCTTCCAACTGCTGGGTCTCTGTTGACACATGCCACGCAGACTTTGGAATGCGTCTTTCCACCTATGGGACCCTAATTCTGTTAACATGCCATAAAAAACCCAAGATGAACTTGGTAGTGCTGGAAAGCTACAATTTCTTCACAGTGTCATTCTCAGCATCAGAGTAGTAGGAAGTTCGCACATTGCCTCAAGACTTTCCTTTATCTTCTGTTTTGGCAACTCTTCTGCATACCAGCAGGCTTCCACTGGCATTAGAAGTATTATTTATGAATGAAAATAGAAGAACATGACGTGTGTATCCAAAGAAAATACTACCACACCAAGAATGTAAAAGCAAAAGGGGGACGATATAATAAGATAAAAAAACCATTAACCATGTAAGTTTATATAAGGATTCAGATTTACTTAGGACACTGAATGATTCATTTTAAGCTCTAAAAAATATGTTCTTTAACGGTTAACAGGGTCATTGTTTGGGTTTTGAGGTCCCAAAAGTAGCTTTTTTTGTTCACTTTTTCTGCGATCATATTGTTGTTTTTACTTAAAATTAGATACCATTTCAGATGGAAAATGCTCTAAACCCTAACAATACAATACTTGACCTACCAGCTATCCATAAATGCTAATGTATCTGTTGCATGTGTCAATAAGGAACTGTATGCGAACAAGCTTGTCATATTGAATAAAAAGGTGATCTCATGTCAGTGTTGCATACACAGCTTGCTCCCAAGGAGACAGACAACCAGTAATCGCAAGATAAAGAAAATATCATTATTAATATTAAAAACTCCCCCAGTCTGACTGTGATTCAGCTGAAATGTGCCCATGTTAGGGCATGGGTAGCATAAGGCCAAGAGGAAGTCTCCTTTGTGGGGGAGTTAAATGTCAGGGGCAACTGTTATTGAGTGAAAGCTTTTGTTCTAGGGACACATGATCCACTCCTAAAATGCCTTTTTGCACATAGCGCTCATACCCTGCTTGTATTAGGTTTCAGCTACCGTTCCTTAATCCTCACCCTATTTGACTTTACCCAGATTTAACAGTGAGTGTTTTTATTTACAGTAAATCTAAAAGTTGCACCAGGTAAGTTTCTAAAAATTTGATTTTTCCAGATGAATTTCAGCAATAATGAAAACAAAAAGTTGTGAAATGTTATCTCATTCCAGGAAACCCTGATTCAGACTTTGAATGATTTGTTTGTGCATGTTTCTGTATGCGTGAACCATGACAAAAAAGTGTGTCATGAGTGCAAATTATAAACATTAAATGGGGATGTGCTTGGAAGAGAAAAAGCGTTTACTGGGTTTGTTTCTTAACAGCAGATGCCACGCCTCCACTGAGGAATATTTAAATCTGCACCTCTCACTCTGTGTGCTTAGCTCTGCTCTGGTATATAACTCACCACTGGATATCATCACCAAGTCAACAGGAGAGCCTCTTTATCACCTGGCAAACCAAGCCAAACTTCCTCTTACCCGGAAAAGGAGACAAATATAAAGGAGAAGAAACAGGACCAGGAGAAGCAGAGCATTAGAAGAAGAAGTGTCTTGGTGCTGGATGGGGAACATGTTCCTGTGGGTCGCCTTGCTGATGTCCCACTGTTTCTGGGGTCTGAGTGGAGCTGCAGCAGAACAAAGCTCAGAACTGGAGAGGATAGAGAAATGTGGCACCCGGTGTTCTCAGGTAATACTCAACTTTATCAACAATTAAGATAAAAACTCTAACAAATAACAATACAAACTATTTTTGATACTGTATGACTATGGTTTTAGCTATTAACATTAAACTGATTTAATTTTGTATTCTTCCAGACTGTTTCAGTTGTTCCATTGTTTGCATTTATAAACTTTATATCCACATTACTAATGAACATTTTTAGAAAATATCACTGTGGAAAAATGTTACGATTTTTCCACAGTGATATGTTCAATTTTTTTTAATGTGATATAAAATAAATGCTGTTTAAGCTGTCTACTATTTGCCTTTTTGTCTACTTTATATCCACATTACTGATGAATATATCATTGTGTAAAAGTGTTGTGATTTTTATACAATGATATAAAACAAACGTTTATCTATTTATTCTATTATTTGCCTTTTTGTCAATTCTGTTCTCAAATGATATACAATGTCAGTGTGATTTTTCTTATAGAGGTATTAGAAAAAAAATACAAAACAATGTTAATATAGTTTTTTCTCGAGCCCTTACGTGTACTATTAGAACCTCCTATTGCTGCTGCTGCTGCTAAAACTCAATATATTATACAGTAATCCTGCTGCTGTTTTGCCATCCATGTCTATCAGAATTTCTGTGCTACTACATCAACTACCTGTCAAAATACTACCAAAAATAATCCACAGTTTCAGGCTTGTGAAATGAACCCTGATGTCCTCAAAGGCTCTCTAAATATGACACATGCAGCTTACTGTGTTATTCTGTCGCTGAAACCTTTAGTTAACGACAAATAATGCTTAAGCACTACAGTATTTTTATTTGCATACTGTATTACTCACCTTATTATTTCTAGCCAAGGAGGAATCAAAAACAGCTGCATATCATGTTAGGTGGAGATACACCTTTCCTCCCTAGCATGCTCTCTGTGACCCTATTTGCATATATTTTCATGCTATAAATAACCCTTTTGCACAGTTTAGGGCTTTTACCTTGAGTATAGATTTTCACACGGCTCATGTTGCAAGTGCACAATAAACGTTCTCTTTTGCAAATTTGTACAGGTATATGTGCTCAAATAATTTTGTTCTTCCTCAATTATGAGTCATGTTTCTTTCAAAACATCTTGACCTATGAGCTCATGTGAATTAACTTGTACTTTCAAGTGAAACTTGATACTTACATTCGAGCATTTTTACCACATTTAGTAATACCAGAAGCATTCAGTAAAAAAAGGCACGTCATACA